TCCCTTGCCGCCATCGCCGCCATTAACGCCTGTCGTACCAACTCGCTCGTTACCACACCCATTGAATCTTCCCATTCTATTGTCGCCATCGCCGACACATCGTTCGACACCTGTCATGTCCACCATATCGTCGTCCAACATCCGGATTCCAACATCTTTTCCTCACCCTCCTCTGGACGCCAATGGCTCCAACTACACCTCGTGGGTAACGACCATGGACCTTTGGCTCTCGCTCTTCAACCTTTGGCGCCTCCTTTCAGGAGATGAGAAGGGTCCTCCGCGCCCAACCAGAAGCACCACTGAGACTGAGGCTGACTTCAACAAACGCCTCGCGGCACATGATGCGAGCGCGGACGTCATTTCTTTCCGAGAACGCCAAAGCATAACCAAAGGACTCCTTGGTATGACGGTACACTCAAGTGACCTCATCCACTTCATGGGTGTCACTGATCCAGCCGTCATCTGGAAAGCGCTAGAAGACAAGTATCAGGCGTCTGTTGGCATCCGCTTTACGAGCCTCATGGGCCGTATCTTTGACCTTCCCAAAGCATCTGATAGCGACTCTCTTACCAAGACCATTAAGGAGATCACGGACATCAAGGCCCAATTCAAGGTCATTGAATCCATCGAATGGAAGTGCAACGAATATACCCTTGTCCAAGCGCTACTGCGTGCCCTTCCCGACTTCTATGCGCCGCTTTCCCAGCTCATACAGCCGAACAGAATGGTGTTGCCGAACGTGGACACCAGACCATTGCCACCCGAGCATTAAGTGCCCATCACCAGAGTGGTTTTCCTCGTTCGTTCTGGGGCCACGCCATCCTCAACTCAGTATACATCAAGAACTTCCTCCCGTCGTCAGCTACTGACAACAGAACGCCGTTTGAACTCTTCTATGGTGAACTACCAAATGTCTCGCACCTACGTCCGTTTGGCTGCCTCGCATATGCTCACATCCCAGACGACAATCGCCACAAGTACGACTTTGTTTCGAGACGGTGCTTCCTACTGGGGCACGTCAAAGATGCGGGATATCTTCTATGGGATCCAGCGACACGACAGACGGTGCGCTCTCGAAATGTCCTTTTTGATGAAAAATTCTTCTACGGCACACCCAACTCAGTTCTCTCGCCCCTCGTTGAATTACACAACCAGCGCATTGCAATGCAGCAGCCCACCCTCGCATTGCCACATGATTTGCCGATATCAGAAGACGGCTTCAGAACCACACGACCTGGAGAAGATGATTCCGGTATTACACTACCAGGACCCAGTACCGTTTCAGTGGGAGTACTTCCGACTTCTGCTCCTCTCATCCCCGAACCTCCACAGCCATTCCCGCAGTCGAACGACAATGTTCTCCCTGTCCCTGCTGAAGTTCCGGTAGAAACGGTACCATCTCCTGAGCCACGACGTTCGACACGTCAACGCATTGACGCGCGACCAGCAGTCCCGAAAACTGTTGCCATCCCAACAAAACATGTCCCAGTACAGCGGCGTTGGACTTATGTACCGGTCACTGTTGAGGAGGAGGTTGTTGAAGAAGAAAATCTTAGTATTAGTGCTACCCCCGATGTCACCATTGAGCACTCCGCGAAGCATGTATCCTTGGCGGACAGCAACAAGATTGATGGACGGAAGCTTCCCCCCAAAACGATAGCTGCCGCTCGCTTGTCAATGGATTCGGGTCATTGGGAAAGCGCAATGAATGAAGAGTTAGCTTCGTTGGGAGAAAAAGGAGTGGGTGTCTTAACACCACTCCCATCAGGGAGAAAAGCAGTCGGCTCACGGTGGGTGTACTCGCACAAGTATGACGAAAATGGCCAGATTGCCCGCCACAAGGCCCGCCTTGTTGCGCAGGGTTTCACACAGATCGAAGGACTAGATTACACCGACACCTTTGCTCCTGTTGCAAAATACGACACCGTACGTGCACTACTCTCCATGGTCGCTAAGTTTGATCTTGAACTTGATCAAATGGACGTGAAGACCGCCTTTCTCAATGGCGAGCTTGACGAAGAAATCTACATGCGTCAACCTCCAGGCTTCGAAGACCCTGAGCATCCAGATTGGGTCTGGAAACTCCTCAAGGCCATCTACGGACTCAAGCAAGCCGGTCGTCAATGGAACAAGACACTCGATGATTTCCTGCGAAAAGAAGGTTTTAATTTTGTTCGTAGCGAAGCAGACTATAGTCTGTATGTTTTACGAAAAGATGACAAGACCATCTGGCTCCTTGTTTACGTCGATGACATGTTGCTCGCATCGAACTGTCGGGATTTCCTTAACGGTTTCAAATCGGAGATGAGCAAACGTTTTGAAATGAAGGACCTTGGTGAAGCGCGTCATTTCTTAGGAATGCACATTACACGAGATCGCTCTAAGAAGCACCTTACCGTCAACCAATCCTCCTTTCTCGAACAGATTCTCAGTGAAACTCGGATGTCAGATTGTCGACCAGTATCTACCCCCATGGTTCCAGGGATCTCCTTGACGAAGTCATCTGCACCCCTCACTCAAGCCGAAATCCAACAATTTGCGCACATGCCATACGCGCGTGTCGTTGGGGAACTCAACTTCGCCATGCGCGTTAGTCGTCCCGATATTGCATATGCAGTATCGGCGCTGTCAAAATATCTGAGTAACCCTGGCATAGACCACTACCGCCAGCTTCACCATCTCCTTCGTTACCTTCGTGGATCCACACATCATTCCCTAACGTTTGGTTTGTCCAACCAAGGACTCATCGGTTATTCGGATTCTGACTTCGCGTCTGATAAAGACGACAGTCGCTCAATTGGGGGCTATGTCTACTTTCTTTTCGGTTCCCCCATCAGTTGGCGTTCCCAAAAGCAATCCGTCGTTGCGACTTCGTCTACTGAAGCTGAATACATCTCACTCTCTAACGCGGCCCGCGAACAGATCCATCTCAGCCAGCTGCTATGCGATTTTGGTCTTGACCTCTCGCTGATCACCCCCACCACGTTATATGGTGATAACAATGGAAGTCGCGCACTAACGAAAAACCCTCAATTCCACGACCGGGCCAAGCACATTCGCGTCCGCTATCACTTCGTTCGAGATCTGGTCAGCGACGGCACCATCATCATTCCCTATGTACCCACACATGATATGATTGCCGACATCTTCACGAAATCCCTACCACGAAAACTTTTCCGCAACCATCGACACTCGCTTGCTCTTCGTTCATCGTCAAACGAAGACCCAGTTGAATGAGCACGCCCGCGTCTCTAGCGTTTTGCGTTCGAGTGGGAGTATCAAGATATGACCCTTACACGTACTTAGCCTTTTCATTTTACATACACGAACACTCCTCCTACCATGCGTCATACACGTTTCCTATTGACTCTCCGTCCCAATCAAACGTATTAATTCCTCCTCTCGTCGAACAATCTCCCTCAGTCTTTTGAACCAAGACTGAGGTGAGCTATCTTATTGACATCCCTACTCTACTCTTACTAACTACTACTCTACTAGTTCTGTTCTCGCCCTTAGGTATGGTCCATAGTTACCCCTTAGTCTTTTTGAACCAAGACTGAGTTCTGTTCTCGCCCTTAGTTTCTCTAGTCCGAGTCTCTTCACCTTTGATATTCACGGTACAAGTTATTCGCTAGTGCAAAACGGGGAACATAATTCTCCCATAAAATAGTAAAACAATTGGCACATCCATTGTAGTCGAGTCAGAAGAATTTTCAATGATTCCTGCGTTATCAAGCATCACACCATCGAGAACGTTATTCTTGAAAGTGAAAGCTCCACGTACGCACACAATCCTTGTGGTGTTCCTCGCAAAACAGAAAGACAACAAACACAGACATTATTCAAGAGGGCTGATAAACTGTGTTCTTGAATTTCCTCGCTGTATTAGAACCATCTCGGTTAGTGATCAAAAAATGCAAGATGATATGGTGGATAGCAGAGGGCATGACATGATAACGAGGATATTGCTCCACATCACTGGGCTCATTGCAAAGAGGACATTGTCCTTCATCGAGGATGCAAGCCAAACAGCAGGCAAACTTTGCAAGAAAAACCCCTGAAAACACATGAGCTGACGAACCATCGAGTAGTAGGCTCATAAGGACAGGCGGAGCCAAGAATTTAATGATCCAAGCTTAAGAGCAGTAAGCCGATATGGGTGTTCATCAATGCATCAACAGAATCACCACGCGGAGAGTAATCTGCAAAGAACTATAATAACTGCATTGCGCTGCGACTTGATGATCGTCAACGTTATACATGCTCATTGTGATGACCTGTGCACTAGTCGTTTCTATCTGGACTCAGATCGGGTCAGCAAGATTCAGCATTAATATTGCGGATATAGGCTTTTCACAAATTTAAAAATCTCCAACTGTACAGCCTACAAATTCGATCGAGTTTCACCCAGATCAGCGCACGAGCCCACAGCCAGCCATTTAGTAGTTTTCCAGTGCGGACAATGCGTGCATGCAGTGTACGCACTATATCTTTCCTCGTGCACAACCTCGGCAGCACCGACTTCTAATTATGGAACTCCGCGAGGCATAAATATGGAAGCAATATTACGTAGTTTATATTTATCTATATTTACTACCGGAATTGCAAAATTTGACCATCTCACCGGCGGCGGAGTGTACATGCCATGGTGCCAGTGACCACACATCCTCAATCTCCGGTGAGCCTGTGATGTGTTTTGTCACTCTCTACCATTGAAATTTTGCAACTCTGGCCCAGCGATAGCATGTACGGAAGTCATCGTCACCAACCTGAGACATGAGCATCAGTACTTGGCACTAGTAGGGGCCCTGTGCTCCCTTTTGTCGAGAGTAGGACGCTCAGGTGACTCCGGGGATAGATTTGGATTAGATGACATGCGCAGATTGATGCAGAATCCAGATAATGCTTTGTTTCTGACTGTTGGTCCGTGCTCACTTGGGCGAACTGCTGACTAAGCCCTCTGAACCGATCGCACGCACTTGGGGCAATCTTGTCCGATTCCTAGTGCAACGTTTATGTTACCCACATAAAATTATATACCAATATCCCGATGGCAAAGGTTTCCAGGCTCATGACATTTACATTCCTCATCAGGTGCTGTATCGCCTGGTCATGGTCGCGTCAATCTCCGGATCCCTCTGCTAAGCATGATACTCAAGGTTTTTCATCTCAGATGCACGGTAGTTTTTGTGTCTCTTGTATTATTGTATATATAACGCTCTATTCACTAGCTGAGCTATCCCATGAAGAGATTGACCTGATTTCCAAACACACTGGCATCGGTGATCGCGATCTTTTGCATTCAATGGGGGACAGGAATCTTATGATTTGCAGGTGCATTCGATGGATATATGCGTAAAAATGATTGCTTTCAAGACGCCGCAAGGCATGCACAAAGTCGTTGCGAGGTATCTCACATGAGCGAGGATGAGCGCATACAAGGTTTCTCGTTCTCATGTGCACGATTTGAGACCTTCCTTATATTTTTAGTCGCTATCAGGCTCACCCTCTGCGAACTTGCTACAGCCCGCCACCATACACCACCTCTCGAGTGTTCTCCATTTAATAACAATGTCGGATCACACATTCCACATCATGCAGTAGGTGATTGTGTCGAGTACGTCACTGTTGACATGCTTTAGGCGAACGCTCATCGATACATAGTGCACTCTCTCGGAGCGCTCAATTTTGGTCTAGCTACTCTGGGTATCTGCGAGAAATCCGTGAGGCTGGGTCATTTCTTGGCTGTTCTGCTAATAGTTGGGATCAGCCCAGCTGTGCTTCGCGTTTCGTCGATGGATGGAAATCGGTGCGTTCCAGCATAGATGGTAGCTGTCGATCTCACGTTTCACCCCTTAGACACTGCAAAGGATATCTATAGAAACATAACGATGGAGAAACTTGCTCTGATTCGATTTTTTCTCGAACAGCAAAGGGAATTCACAGCTGCACACCAGAATTGGGAGCGATCATCTACAGTTAATGAAATTCCCCAATAAGCACGATTGACCAGCTGATTCCTTCTCACAGGACCTGCGCGATCTTATCAGCATGTTGAAATCGACTAGCGGTAATATACGCGACGTCGCAGATGTGACATCTACTTCCATAATTCAAAATGCGCAATCAGTAGGCGACCTTCTGATCTCTCAGATACAGCCATTGAAGAAGCCCTTACAGCTGTTCACAAAGATGGAAACTACCCTGTCACTTATCAACCAGCGCAGTTTCGATGATCATATTCATTCATTGGACAAGGTACTAACCTATCTACGGCTTATCGGTGAAAGCTGACATTCCCAGGTTGATCAGAGGATTGATGACCTGACATTAAGCGTATTGTTCTCATTCTCTGGGCCTTCAAATCGTTCCTGAAGGAATATGCAGCATTCAAAATCCTTGTCGTCGCTACTATCACTCGTCGAATCGCGTTTAACCGCTGAAATTGAAGCAATCGCATCATTGATATCAGAGCAGAGCCTTGAATCTCGGGCAGTCGCGGTGCGGTCGTCTGAATACTTTCCTCAACATTCTTCTAATTGAACCCCAGGATCAAGTTCAGCAAAAATGGTCCGCGCTTGACGCGACTTTCTTTGCTATGCAAAACGTGACTGGTTTTTTGTTTCATTTTGATCGCAGGTTGACATCATCTGCAATCTAGTCCTTTTACGACCTGCAGAGTATGATCACAGGGCTTGCATTCTCTTTGGAGACCTCCCTTTCCCAAGCAATGCATATACAAGAGATCCAGCGAGAGGTTGCAGAGTCTGTTTCACTTCTTGACAACAGGATTTCCCAGCTCACGGAAGTGACTCACCGTGAACTTGAAACAATCAATCAGACGGCCCTTGCCCTCATTGACACCTTTCAGCGCAAGTCAAAACACGAAGCTTGGCTAATTAACCTGCAGTGGCTTCTACGTTTTGTCGAACCCAGTTTGTGTTGCTATTAATTGTGCTCTTTTTTCTGACATATTACGTTAGCGTCGTTGCTCGGCCTCAAGACTTTTCAAGCTGTAACCAGTCTCTTGGTATTCCTCTGGCGTCTTCTGGAAGTGGCACTGTCACTTCTCATGGTAACCCGAGGCTTGACACTGTTGTTTTTATTTTTCTGATGTGACTACCGCAGACTAGTGTCGCAGTTTCCAGCATCAGAAGTCAACTGTCACTCAAGTTCTGTGGTTCAAAACAGGTGCAACCGCAAGAAAGTTCATGGCGTCTCGACTCTCACCTGGAGACAAATGTGTCACCTTTCTCGAATGTTAGGCGTCTGCAACGGAATGACTGTCTGGACCCACGGATCATTCGGCGACTTACTGGACCTCGCATATCTCGCATACCCGATAGGATCTGTCGTCGACCCGACCCTTATTAAACATTGTTACAATTCTCTCTTACCACTTTATGTTTCTGTATTCTCTTTGCGTTAATTCAGAAAGCACAATGGTTTTCCATACATTCCTAAGGCCTTGACAGGAAACCTCCATCAAGGGTGTGAACTTTCGTGGATGCTCGTTGATGTCGCCCAATCAATTCAATTTCATGTTTGTTATGTTAAGCTATTCTTATTTTGCTCGGCAGTAGTCCCAACGAGTCATGCTGGTCGTTCGCGTGATACGCCCGATCGGCGAAGCCGAAGTCTGCCAATGATTCTGATAAGCGCATGAAAAATAAATATAATTATTTATCGTACCCCTCTGCCCCAATAGTATTTGTCATTGATAATCCGGAACGTTAACCGGGTCTATCCTGCTTCCAGCGTCTAACTCCTACCAACTTTCAGCCTTTGTCGTATGTTGTGAGCTGTCATGCTTGCGCACGGTGTCCCTAGGGAGTCCCATATATTTCCACCATCCAGACACCATACTGGCCATATTGGCCCACATGACAACACAATGGACACCTATGCATCCAAACATCAAAGACTTCTACAGTCCTGCGGACAAGAACAGCCCTCAATTACATCAATCATCAATGTCTCTGGTCGTGATAGAGGATCCAAATTATATGTAGCGCCAAAAGGTAACAAGGTATATTTTCTGGCATATTCACTGCATTGTACACCACTCACTAGATTCAGGACTCTTGTGGACAACCTCAGGTCAACCCGTCTAGCTATCGTACAGCTATGGCCTATTCTAAAAATGCTCAACCACACCCTCCTGTGATTCCGCCTCGATTTCAGAAACTGTATGCAGCACCGTGAGTCAGGCTGTTACCCCTCTTCGAAAGTGCCTTTATTTGTGTGCCATAGGACGGGTAAGCCAAATCCAAGCCTTGACTATTCAACTTCTCCCAAGCAGCCATGTATTCCTGTATCTTCCACATGCGGACGAATACCCCTCACCAATTCTTCCATTGTTGACTCGCGATTGTCGTCTCAGCAGAAGTCACAGTCACCTGCACCTGTGAGTCCACATTACACGTGCCTATGAGCCGCAGTTTTTCATGGGCGTTAGATTTTTGATATAAAGGCTGCGCTGTTTGCCGAGGGTATTCACATTGGCATCCAATCGAGTGCTTCACATCCGCAACCTCCCACTGAACCTCATCTCCGCATTGATCAGGTACGATTCAAGTATTCCTTTGTATGAACGAACTAATCAATCCTTATTAAGCATACATCACAAACACTACCAACTCCCACAGAACCAATGTCTCATCATGACACCCAACCCCTAGGAGTCAAACTGGGTAGCCATATGCAAACACTGAATACACCATCCGAACCACCCAAGCGACCCCCAGGTTTGCAGTCGCCTGCTGGTCGAGGTGTCGCATTACCCATGCCGTCAATTAACATCAGCCTTCCTCCACCTTCCAAGGCAAAGGTAGTGGTCAATCTCCTTGGGTTGACCGGACAGTTGATTTAGTCAATGATATTGCAGAAATGGGCTCGTAAAGAACGGTCATCTGGACCTGAGTGCTCGGTTGCAGAACTTGAAGCTGTAACAATCAAACCAGAAACCCCCGAACCTTCAATTTCGTCAAGTAGCGTCAAGCTACCATCCGTTCGGGGGAGATCACGATCGTCGAGCCCGAAACCTTCAATCGGAGGATCGACTGCTCCAACATCATCAAATCTGGCTACGGTGGGCAGTGGTTTATCTCTAGCTCTGACAGTCATATTGATCCGCTCGGCCAGCAGGATATGAAAAGTCCGACAACTTCGAGCAAAGATGAGATGTGTAGGAAATGGTTCTTTCGTGTCTGTGACCGGGGCAGGTGGTGCCCCTATGCCCATACAATAATACCGACCAATCTCACTTGCAAGCTTTGGCTGAATGGGGAGTGCAATCGGCGGCAGTGTCCTTTCGCCCACAAGCATCAGGTAAGTTTGACACCGTCACGATTTGAACGTAATGATGACCCACACTCAGAGTTCCAACGGTCCTGTCAGTAATCAACTACCTGCTCAAAACGACGATCCTCAAGATGTTGTGCAAGTTGCCGATGGTCCCATTAAAGATCAACCTCCTGTTCGAAATGGCAACGTTCGAGACAGCGTGCAAGTTCCCGACCATCTTGTTAAATATACACTGCCTATTCAAACCGGTAACACTCAGGACAGCGTGCAAGTTCTCACTGGTCCTGTTAAAGATCAACTACCTGTTCGATATACGGAAATTCCCGACCATCCCGTTAACGACCAACGAAACGGCAAACCTCGAGAGGGTGGTAAAGTTCCTGAAGGTTCTGTTAAGAGTCAAGCACCTGTTCGAAACGGCGGCGCTCGAGGCACAATAGATCAAGGTATTTTATCTGCTTACCTTAGCATAGCTAGCCCTCATCCCGATACCCCCAGACTCAACTCGACCTCCATCTTCTGACACGTCCAGCAGTGTTCAGTGCTCCATGACACAAGTCCCGCCCTCGGGAACAACATCCCGTGGGTCAGAACGACAGTCTCAGGCGGCTTCGACTAATACCACACCAGAAAACACGGGACACAAGCCATCCAGCAACGTATGTGCATTCCTCCTGTCTCATTTCTGGCGCTCATCCCGTGAAGCCCGATGGTCATCAACCGAAGCAAGTCTGTTATGACTGGTTGCAAGGTCGCTGCCGGCGTGCCGTGTGCCGTTATCCGCACGAACGTCTCAACGATGTGAGTGCTTTGAGTTTGGTAATATACATCACTCCCTAACATATGGTATCAGAACACATCGCGAACTCAACTATCTGTTCGAAATGGCGATCCCCGAGATGTCGTGCAAGTTGCCGACAGTCCCGTTAAAGATCAGCCTCCTGTTCGAAATGGCAACGTTCGAGACAGCGTGCAAGTTCCCGGCCGTCATGTTAAATATAAACCGCCTGTTCAAACCGGCAACGCTCGAGACAGCGTGCAAGTTCCCGCTGGTCCTGTTAAAGATCAACTACCTGTTCGATGTACGGAAGTCCCCGATGGTCCCGTTAATGACCAACGAAACGGCAAACCTCGAGAGGGTGGTAAAGTTCCTGAAGGTTCTGTTAGGAGTCAAGCACCTGTTCGAAACGGCAGTACTCGAGGCACAATAGATCAAGGTACTATTCTATCTGCTCACCTTAGCATAGCTAGCCCTCATCCCGATACCCCCAGACTCAACTCGACCTTCATCTTCTGACACGACCAGCAGTGTTCAGTGCTCCCTGACCCAAGTCCTACCCTCAGGAGCAAACTCCCGTGGGTCAGAACGACATTCTCAGGCGGCTTCGACTATTACGACACCAGAAAACACGGGACACAAGGCATCCAGTAACGTATGTGCATTCCTTTCCGGTTTCATTTCTGGCACTCATCCGGTGTGTCGCCAGCCGAAAGTTTGTTATGACTGGTTGCAAGGTCGGTGCATGCGTCACTCTTGCTCTTTCCCGCACAAACGCCCCAATGATGTGAGTTCTATGAGCTTGGTAATATACAACTCTCTAACATACTACTAGAACGTATCGCAAAAGAAGCTTCATCACCAGTTCGGAATACTTGTGCCGATGGCGCACCAGCGTCTGGCAACTCCCCATCACGACACCTACCGCCCAACCTGCCACCCCCTACCATACTCGCAATGAGGATCTTGTCATGCCCGTGACAATCGCAGATCATATCACAGTGAAACTTCGTAGTGGTTTCGATGTCCAGGACGTGACTACTGGATTTGAAACACGTTGGGTACACCTTGGAGACGTGTCACCGGACGTCAAGGAATCCCAACTCCGTTCCCTTTTGAAAGCATATCAAGTCGACGAATTATGTATTCCGGATGGAAAGGATGTCAAGCGGTTGACCGTCAAAGTGCAGTTTTCAACCGCAGCGCAAGCTATGGAGGCTTCGGTCGCCCTTCATGGACGCCAAATCCAGGGGAGGAGACTCACTGCGAAGCTGACTTTGAACACTACCGCATGTCGTACCACAGTGCTCAAAGACACCGCTGTCCGTATCACCTGGAGTGCGCCCCAGCGCGTCGGGTACGCAGGGTATGCAACCCTTAATGAGGCCAAGGCTGCGATTGCAGCCGCCACTGGATTGGTGATGAGGGACAACGTTCTCACAGCCGCCTTGTACGAAGGATTACCCGCAGTTGGTGTTTACAACGTCATGTTTTCTCATCTTCCTCCCGATGCAGAGAGAAAGGATTTGGAGCAGTTCGGCACG